GGCAATTTGAATATAGTTTATTGTTTCAGAGAATGTGCTGAGTATGAATTGCATATGGCAGTAGTCTTGACATGTTCTTACCTTTTAAATGTTTATGTTCTAATAAACATTCAAAGGAACATGTATAAAATAGGATTGTTTTACAAGCTGGAGATCAGTGACAGGAAGAAAGCAACTCACACAGTACAATTATACAACAGCAAATTGGACCCTGTTAAAGTGGAAGTTTAGTCTCCTCTAAACCTACTCTCAGCCACATTCTAATTCTTAGCTATCTAACCCTGTATAGAAAAGATCACTATACTTACCTATTGTGAAGTTGCTCCAGTCCAGTCTGAGGCTTAGCTGTCAGCGGTGGCTTCTGCGTAGAACAGAGGCAACCGACAACGGTTGCCCTATAGTAAGTCTATGGTTGACATCATATCCTATTCATTTCCCATTTATTGTTTTTCTCTCTACACAGAAGCCACTGCTAGAGACTGGATCAGAGTAAGTATAACAATCTTTTCTTTACAGGGTTAGGTACATTTGGTACACTAGGATTAGAATGTGGCTGAGAGTAGGTTTAGCATTAGGTTTTGAATAAACGTCCGTATTAAGCATTTTAACAAGCACCATACTCCATTAATTTTAAGAAGAAAATGAATGGTAGACCTGAACCAAGACACAATGACATCTTCCATGACCTGGGTAATGATTGCACTCTAGGACCAGGCAATGGAATGGTTTTCACTTGCTGTACATGCGTTCAGTGATAAAGATGTTTGACAGATGATAAAGTTCATGCACAATAATAACAAAATTCTTCCACATAATTATCATCATCTTCATCATAATTTTTTCATCCTATTGCTTCCAATAATTACATTATTAATAATATTTATAATAGTAATAATACAATTCGAGTGTTATGGTTAGGTGAATGCTGATGTAATACACAACATGGAACCTGTTAAAAAAATATAAGGAAGCAAATAATTACATTTTTCTTTACCTTTTCATTACATTGTCATTTTTCATAGATGCTTACCTTGGTTCTCCATAAAAAGTTTAATTATGTCTAATGTGCTGCTGTTTCCCTGTAGTTTAACAATGCATAAATACCTTGACAGCATTGAAAAGAACCAGGTATGAGTCAACACTGATGTGCTGATTCATTCTCCATCAGCTTCCAATATCTCTGGGAGACTTAACCACCAGAATCCCTCCACTCTATTCCTTCATAGATTTACACTTTTACTGCTACAACAGATAGATTCATGGATCTGGAAGTCACACTCCTGTACATCACATCCAATTCAGGTAAGTCCCACATGCTAACATCCAAGAATGGAACATGGTGTGCAAACATAGGAACAATGAGGAGATTTCATTTAATCACTTTAAGGGCATTTAATATGTGAGGATTTTTTTCTCTTAGTAAGGGAATACAAATCTATTTGTTTAACAAGGCTTAGAGCAAGCTTACCATAAAATAGTTTTCTTCTCAATTGCCTTATATTCAACACTCTAGATCAGGGTTTCTCAACCAGGATTCCTCCAGAGGTTGCTAGGGGTTCCTTGAGCAATGAGCAATTTCTGCCTCTTAGACAAGTTCCCACTTACACCATTGATCTTTTAAGCTATCTCTAAGATGGTAATTCTTACTAATAACCACAAATGTAAGGAACATTTTTCCCATTGACCATCACAGTAATGTATCATGAGTTTTGGATAGAGTAATTTTTTAGCAGGGGTTCCCTGAGACCGGAAAGTTATTTCCAGGGTTTCCCTGTGTTGAAAAACTTGAGAAAGGATGCTCTAGGTCAATGTGTTTCTGATGGGGCAACTATCAACAAAAGGTAAATTTGATCTCATAAAAAAACAAGTGATTGACCCCCTGCCCCCTGGATAGAAGACTTGTTAGAGGAGACCATTTCATTTCAGGAAAGGTGGATCTAGGGACAGACATGTTCTCTGGGCAATGAGCTGTGTTGACATTCTGTAGAATAATGAGTTCTGCATTAAAATTCATATGTTGCCCAATCACACCAGATAATCAATCTGAAGTTTAATATGCTTGCATTTTGCCTTCTCTAGTTTTTTCTTTTCCCCCCTCATTAAAATGGTAATGACATACTTTTCTTCCCAGTGGTGTCATCACAGGGTTTCTCTACTTCTCTATACAATCATGGCTGATGGGAAAGAACCAGCAGGGTACTGTTCATATCCTTCTGAATACATCACAGCACCATGCCTTGGTACTCTTCTCAAGAGCCCTAAGCCCTGATGCAAGCAGTGGGCTGGTTCTTGGTAGGTTTTATGCAGTGCCTTGATGGATGGAAGTCCGTCTAGAGGAGTGAGCATTCCTATATGCAGGCTGTATTTGCACCCAAGGTACTGTTCACATGTATTGCTGAGACTCCATGATTGAAAGAACTGAAATCTATTTAATGAAAAGGGCAGGTCACGGACAGTAGGGCTAGGGTGGAAAGCGCTAGATGATGCTGCATTTCCTACAACTAGTAAATAAGGTAGGCTCCATCTGACTTGCTGCAGCATCTAATGCACACTGTGAGTAGCTCACAGAGTAATCAATTTCCTGTACAGATGTGCAAGACCCAGAGTATAGCTGAAGCTAAGTTTTCAACACATATTTGATGATCCCCTACATACCTTTTGGCAAACTGCAAAGGGGATGTGATATGCTTGTTTTTTTCAGCAATGTCTTTCTCCTTTTTACTTTTCTATAAAGCCCAGTTCATTGAGGCTTTGAATCAGTTATCCCATGAATGGTTTTTCCTATATTATTTGTGGGTTTCTATCACTCCTTCATTGTAAGTATCAACTTCTTTGTTGCGTCTCTAACTGGTGCAGTTTTTTCAAAGCAGAGTGGTGACTATGCTATATTCTCACTATTTTAAAATAATATATTTAACTGTGATTTGGGGGATGTTTAAAGTTTGGGATATTTTTCATCCATGACTGGTGCTTCTCTATAACTTTATTTGTTGTGATAGTCTTTGGTTTTAAAGAATAATAATCACTGCAGCTTATAAATGGTTGTTGACTCCACCAAGGGACAAAGTGCATGTAACACTTGGTCCCATTCTTATCTGTGCTGAGGTTGTGCAATAAGAAAAACCTTGTTATTTTCAGTTTAATTTGTGGGCTTTCCTATAGGGGGGCTACAGCACAGCCCTAGCCCCCTCCTATCTCTTCTGTGTGCACATATACAGTTCTGTGTCTATTGTTCTCTTATGTTTTTTCTACTACTCTATTTCTTCTCTGGTGTCCAGTCTACTTCCTCTCCCTCCTTTTCAATATCCCCTTCTTTTCCTGGCTAGCTTCATGCACTAAAAGATGTAAAGAGCTCTGTGGAGGATTTCTTGCTGAAAAACTAGCAAGGAATGTATAGTAAACAAGGCACACATGGGAGCCTAGTGCTGAATTGACAACTTTCCCTGCTCTGGGGAATTATGGTGCTCATCTGCAATGACAGATGAGTACTGTAAAGTACACCCCATTAGATATTCTCCTTTCTAGAAGTGTGGTTGACTGCATGCTACCCTCCTCCCACCACTGTATGACCATGCTACTAGCAAGATGCTCAACAACCACAGCATGAATCAGAAAGCACTACATGCACAATTGCTTCTAGCAAGTTGTGGTGATACATATTCTTTAATGATAGTGATTGCTGAGATATGTTCTCTAACAAATTATGGGACCATCCATAAATAGGTATTTTTTATCAAAAGGGGAAGTTCCACTTCAATGACTCATTCTCCGCTCCCCATTACAGATTTGTACCATTGGGGAGTGGGTACCTGATTTTGGCAGGTACCCGCTCTCACTTTCATTCCGACTGCCAAGGCAATTGGAAGCTAAAGTTCTACTCCCCGAGGCCCCCCCCCGCAGTCTTCTGGGACATGTGAAAGATCTCAGAAGACTGTGGGACCATTCATAAGCCGCAAGCTGTCACAGCCAGGTGCCCACACTTAAAATGCCAGCAGAGGAAAGAGGAAGGCCAGTGAATCCAGCTGGGATGAGGACACTGCTGGATCATGGGACAGGGGAGTGGCTGTTTTTTAGAAATACACATACACTATATTGCCAAAATTGGCACTGGGACGCCTGCCTTTACACGTACATGAACATTAATGGCATCCCAGTCTCAGTCTGTAGGGTTCAGTATTGAGTTGGCCCACCCTTTGCAGCTATAACAGCTTCAACTCTTCTGGGAAGGCTGTCCACAAGGTTTAGGAGTGTGTCTATGGGAATGTTTGACCATTTTCCCAGAAGCGCATTTGTGAGGTCAGGCACTGATGTTAGACGAGAAGTCCTGGCTTACAGTCTTCTCTAATTCACCCCAAAGGTGTTCTATCGTGTTGAGATCAGGACTCTGTACAGGCCAGTCAAGTTCCTCAACCCCAAACTCACACATCAATGTCTTTATGGACCTTGCCTTGTTCACTGGTGCGCAGTCATGTTGGAACAGGAAGGGGCCAACCCCAAACTGTTCCTACAAAGTTGGGAGCATGAAATTGTCCAAAATGTCTTGGTATGTCTTGGTATGCTGATGCCTTTAGAGTTCCTTCACTGGAACAAAGGGGCCAAGCCCAACCCCTGAAAGACAACCCCACACCATAATCCCCCCTCCACCAAACTTTACACTTGGCACAATGCAGTCAGGCAAGTAACTTTCTCCTGGCAACCGCCAAACCCAGACATGTCCATCGGATTGCCAGAGAAGTGTGATTGGTCACTCCAGGGAACACGTCTCCACTGCTCTAGAGTCCAGTGGCAGCATACTTTACACCACTTCATCCAATGCTTTGCAGTGCACTTGGTGATGTAATTCTTGGATGTAGCTGCTCGGCCATGGAAACCCATTCCATGAAGCTCTTTACACACTGTTGTTGTGCTAATCTGAAGGCCGAATGAAGTTTGGAGGTCTTTAGCTATTGTCTCTGCAGACTGTGTGCTTCAGCATGCGCTGTCCTCTCTGTCATTGTTTCTGGCTGAGTTGCTGTTGTTCCCAGTTGCTTCCACTTTGTTATAATACCACTCACAGTTGACTGTGGAATATTCAGTAGCAAAGGAGATTTCACGGATGGAACTACAGTGGATGTAAAAAATCTACACACCCCTATTAAAATGTCAGGTTTCTGGGATGTTAAAAAAAGAGACAAAGATAAATCATTTCAGAACTTTTTCCACCTTTAATGTGACCTATAAACTGTAGAACTCAAATAAAAAACAGACTGAAATCTTTAATCTTTAGGGGGGGGGGGGGGGGGGTAAACATAAAGAACTAAAATAATGTGGTTGCATAAGTGAGCACACCTTCTTATAAGTGGGGATATAGCTGTGTTCAGAATTAAGCACTCACATTCAAAATCATGTTAAATAGGAGTCAGTACACACCTGCCATCATTTAAAGTGCCTCTGATTAACCCCAAATAAAGTTTAGCTGTTCTAGTAGGTCTTTCCTGACATTTTCTTAGTCACATCCTACAGCAAAAGCCATGGTCCGCTAAGAGCTTCCAAAGCATCAGAGGGATCTCATTGTTAAAAGGTATCAGTCAAGAGAAGAGTACAAAAGAATTTCCAAAGCATTAGATATACCATGGAACACAGTGAAGACAGTCATCATCAAGTGGAGAAAAATATGGCGTAATAGTGACATTACCAAGAACTGGATGTCCCTCCAAAATTGATGAAAAGATGAAGAAGAAAACTGGTCTGGGAGGCTGCCAAAAGGCCTACAGCAACATTAAAGGAGCTGCAGGAATATCTGGCAAGTACTGGCTGTGTGGTACATGTGACAACAATCTCCAGTATTCTTCATATGTCTGGGCTATGGGGTAGAGTGGCAAGACGAAAGCCTTTTCTTACGAAGAAAAACATCCAAGTCTGGCTACATTTTGCAAAAAGACATCTGAAGTCTCCCAAAAAGCATGTGGGAAAGTGTGTTATGGTCTGATGAAACCAAGGTTTAATTTTTTGGCCATAATTCCAAAAGATATATTTGGTGCAAAAACAACACTGCACATCACCAAAAGAACACCATACCCACAGTGAAGCATGGTGGTGGCAGCATCATGCTTTGGGGCTGTTTTTCTTCCACTGGAACTGGGGCCTTAGTCAAGGTAGAGGGAATTATGAACAGCTCCAAATACTAGTCAATATTGGCACAAAACCTTCAGACTTCTGCTAGAAAGCTAAACATAAAGAGGAACTTCATCTTTCAGCATGACAACGACCCAAAGCATACATCCAAATCAACAAAGAAATGTTTTCACCAGAAGAAGATGAACGTTTTGGAAAGGCCCAGCCAGAGCCCAGACCTGAATCTGATCACAAATCTGTGCACAGGAGTTGCCCTCGCAAACAGACAGATTTGGAGTGTTTTTGCAAGGAAGAGTGGGCAAATATTGCCAAGTAAAGATGTACCCTGCTGATAGACTCATACCCAAAAAGACAGAGTGCTGTAATAAAATCAAAAGGTGCTTCAACAAAGTACTAGTACTAGGTATGCACGCTTATGAACCCATATTATTTTAGTTTTTTTATTTTTACTTCCCTCCACCTAAAAGATTTCACTTTGTTGTTCAACTGCATTGTACAGTTTATAGGTTACATTAAGATTAGGTTCGCATTTGTGCAGATGGTGCCACTGTGAATCCGCACGAAATTCCGCGCAACTGCACCACCCGCACTGAGGACTGCGGTATTGCAGGCGGGTGCCATTATTTCTAATGGCACGCCGCCCGCACTGGAAAGCACAACCGTACTGGGAAATGAGGTTCCCGTGCGGGCTGCATTTTCCAAAGAAGTGCAGGGACTTCTTCCATGCGTGTCACAGGGCACGGGAGTCCATTCAAATGAATGGGCTCTCATGCCCGCGCAAAACGCGGCCCGCACAGCTGCATATATGTGAACCACGGGTAAAGGTGGAAAAAGTTTTGAAATGATTTATCTTTGTCTCATTTTTTTTACATCACAGAAACCTGACATTTTAACAAGGGTGTGTAGACTTTTTATATCCACTGTATTGCACAGGTGGCAACCTATCACGGTACAACTCTTGAATTCACTGAGCTCCTGAGAGTGACCCATTCTTTCACAAATGTTTGTAGAAGCAGTCTGCATGCCTAGGTGCTTGATTTTATACACCTGTGGCCATGGAGGTGATTGGAACACCTGAATCCAATGATTTGGAGGGCTGGCCCAATACCGTTGGCAATATAGTGATATGAGAATTCTGCTTAACTAATCTAGGCACTCCTGCCAGAGTGCACATCCAGGTTCTGCAGTCCTAGAGACCTCTCTGTACGTCATATTGCAACTGAGCAACATAGTTTGTAGGACCAATAATATGATTAACTACTGTTTTTTAATGTCTCTGGGCAGCACAGTGGCTAAATGGTTAGCACTTCTGCCTGGCAGTATTAAGGTTGTTGGTTTAAATCCCAACCACGGCACCACCTGCCTGGAGTTTTCATGTTCTCCCTGTGCTTGCTTGAGTTTCCTCCGGGTACTCCAGTTTCCTCCCACACTCCAAAGACATGCTGGTAAGTTAATTGACTCCTGTATAAATTGTCCCTAGTATGTGTATGTATGAATGTGAGTTAGGGACCTTAGATTGTACGCCCCTTGAGGGTTAGGGACTGATGTGAATGTACAATATATATGTAAAGCACTGCATACATTGACAGCGCTATATAAGTACCTATAATAAATAAAATAAAACAAAAATGCAACTTTTTATGAGCCTCTCCAGCAAATGTGCAGACAATTATATTTTAACAGGTTTTTTTGATAACCTTGGCTCCTCAGTAGGAATATGTAGACAAACTTCACTTAGAAAATGAATTTTTAAATAGTGCAGGGGAATTTTACCCCCTTCCTGCCCAGACCAATTTTCAGCTTTCAGCGCTATCGCAATGACTGACAATTGCGCGGTCATGCAACACTGTACCCAAACAAAATTTTTATCATTTCTTTTGAGACAGAGCTTTCTTTTGGTGGTATTTAATCACCACTGGGATCTTTATTTTTTGCTAAACAAACTAAAAAGACTGAAAATTGTGAAAAAAAAGTTTTTTTCATAGTTTCTGTTATAAAATGTTGTAAATAAGTAATTTTTCTTCTTCACTGATGTGCGCTAATGAGGCTGTAGTGATGGGCACTGATAGGTGGCACTGATGGGCATTAACAGGCATCACTGATGGGCACTTAAAGGCAGCACTCATATATGGCACTGATAGGCTGCACTGATAGGCAGCACTGACTGGCACTGATAGGCGCCACTGATTGGAACTGTTAGGCAGAACTGATTGGAACTGTTAGGCGGTACTGACGGGCACTGATAGGTGGCACTGATAGGTAACACTGACTAGCACTGACAGTTGGCACTGAAAGGCAGCTCTGATGAGCACTGATATGTGGCATTGATGTGCACTGGTAGGCACTGATATGTGGCATTGATGTGCACTGATGGGCACTGGTATGTGGCATTGATGGGCACTGATGGGGATACACTGATCATCAGGGCAGTGATCATCGGTGCCCTGAAGATCAGTGTAGATGTTCCCTCTGAGGAATGCTGATTACCGCCTCGCCTCTCCTCACGAATGTCAGTGTGAGAGGACTGTCGATAAGCATGTGATTGGACACAGCTGATCACATGACATGCCGACATCATTGGCTCTTTATTCTGATCCACTGTGTCCCAAGCAATTTGTGTTAACAAGCAATTGAACAGGTGTACCTAATAAAGTGGCCGGTGAGTGTATATATTATATTGATGTAATACAGTTTGACAACCGGGAGTCGCCTTCTCCATGTGGGGGAAGAAGGCAGCACCTTGAAGGGGGAATAAATTGGTTGCTGAGGGCAGACTGGAGCAGGGTTCCTGTACTACTGATTTTTAACATGCTCACTCATTTCTGTAAACAGAGCCAAAGTAAAGGGTGTTTTAAAATCTTTACCACATTAGGGTTCCTTTAATCTCTCAGTGGTTGGGCCTTGGCGATGATGGGGCCACATATTTGCGTACCCATTGTAAACAGAAGATGTGCCGAGAGCGTGGGCCTTGCGCGCTCCTGGCACATTTACTGGTGCCTCACAAAAAGGTCCCGATTGATACATGCGGTTGGGAGCTTTCCAATCATGTGACCGCCATGACAGTCAATCACGATGGTCACATGACCCTAAACCCTGCCTCACCTCCTGGCGTCTCAAACCCCTTAACGGGCCAGGAGGCACCGGTGCCAAGGGATTAAAGCAGAACTAAACTTTTGCAAACGTCTCATTTACACCCTTAATCAATGTGACAATTCCTCGCTGGCCACTGTCATCTTGTCCCTGAGCTACTTCCAGGTAGCAGGTTTTTGGCATCTTGATTGGCCAGAAGGCCATTATCCTGTTGGTTATGTGCAGCTCAGTGAATATTCATTAGAACAGGGTGAGCAGGCAGGTAAGTGTGTTATTGCATTTTTTTTTTTATTTTTAGTTCAACTTTAGGTCTCATGTACACTGCAGCTGATAAACTCACGTTTAGGAGCTGTTCAGCGTTTTTTTAAACAGCCCCTGAACTCTCCCTAATGTTTTCCTATGTGTCCACGTACACTGTGCCGTTACAGTCGTTTACAGGCAGTTGAGTTTGCAGTCGTTTTTTTGAACGCAGAAAACTTGCGTTCAGGAGTAGATTTTATCAGCATTTCAAGCACTTTTAAACGTGGCTAAACGCATTTATAAGCGTTTGCGTTTGAAAATTTTTTTAGGTCTTCCATTTCCAGATTCTGTCCAGAGCCTTTTTTCATCATCAAAAATGCATGCAAAGCGTTTTCCCGGTACTCAAATGGACCTAGTACACCATACTTTGAGGTTTTGCATGAAAGAAAATGTTAGACACTGCTGCAATAATTTCTGCACAGAAATGAGCTGGAACACATACTGCTCTCTCCTGTTTCTGCTCTCTCTATTTCTCTCAAAATGTCTAAAATATTTAATTTTTTACTGTTCTTCAGTGCATTCTGGGCATTTTGGAAGGTCTCCTGAGGTTAAAAAATGCTTCTAAACGCAAATGCTCATAAACGCGCATAAACGTGGTATGCAAACGCAGCTAAAAAGACGTTTTTTAACCTACGTTTTCCAGCAGTCAGTTTCCATCGTCCAGAAATGTCCTGTGCACATGGGGCCATAAGGCCTCACATTGCTGCTTTTGCAGGCATTTGGCTTGGCTTATTTATATTATTTTTTTTTTTTTTTCAGCCTGTAAATGCACCTCTATGTTAGCCTATGTTAGTCTATGTGTCCATGCACACATAAGGGTTTACAGGAATCTTAGAAAAGGAATGTTTACAAGCTGAAAAAACCCTATCACCAGTGAGTTCAGCGGATGAACTTTTGAGTAGAAAAAATGCTTGATGCACCTAAATGCGTGCAAATGTGTCAAACCACTAGGCACGTTTTTGAACATTAAAACATTCAAATTAGACATGTGCAGAATGAAAAAATGTGGGTTTTTTTTTTGGATTGATTCATTAAGTTTCTGATTTAGTTCGTTGCATTCATATCAAAATTCGTTTAGTTTTGTTTATTAATTTTTGACCGGATTCACATTTTTTCCAGTGTATTTAAATCGAATTGAATAAACAAAGGAGCATGGTACAGGACGCCAGCCCTATTTTGTTTATATTCTGCTGTCAGCGGGGAACCCCATGGATAGCAGATGAGTCATGGTTGTTAGGGACGTGGCAGCCACCAGGCCGCCTCCTTAACAGCCAGCTATTATTGAATTAATTCAAATCATGTGTTTAATTTGGATGCTTCTAACATCTGACTGAATGAAATAAATGAATTTCGTTATTTTATTATGTTTATTTCGGATTTGTTGAAATTTGTTATTGTTGGATTCGGAAATTCGGATACATCTGATTTTCGGAATAACGAAAATTTCAGCCAAAGTTCAATTCAGAACAAAAGAAACCACACGTCTAATTCAAATGGCCAGAATGAATATTATATATACATATATATATATATATGAATATTCTGGCCAATGGAATCCCTTAATTCTCAAATGCATGATGTGCCTAAATGCACCTAAGTATGTGTGCAATACATGGCTTTAGGCATGTTTTTTAAGCAGCTTTTCACCTGCCAGGAGTTCTGGTGTTCAGAGGAGAAAAACAAGCACCCTGTGTGAATGAGGTTTAAACCTTGGTTCACATAGAATCCAACTTTGAAATCGTGCGACTTCACTTGAAAAGCCACAGGTCAGTGCAATTTTAGGTGCAACTTGCATGCCATCTGTGTGACTACATGCAAAGATGTCTATGCAAGTCACAGCTGAAATCGCAAAAAATAGTGCATGAACCTTTTTTCAAATCAGTGCGGTATTGCAAAGTTGGATGACCAATATGGGTCCAAACGTTTTAATGAACGGTCACATAGTTACTGGAAGCCATGGCCTTGCTGTAACTATGTGATTTCTCATTAAAACTTTTGGACCCATATTGGTGATCCTCGGTGTGCTGGTGACATTCTCCCTTGCTGATTCTAGTCGGTTCCAGCCGCCAGTTGCTGAACCACCCACTTATAACACACAGCCATTTTTAACGCAGGAACGTGTGCGTTTGGATTGTACACTTGCATTGCAAAGTCAGAGTCTCACCAATTTGAACGGTTCCATTGCTGACAATAAAGGGTGACTTGATGTGCAATCTGGTACTGTCAAATTGCATGATGACGACGCTATATAAGTACCTAAAATAAATAAATGACAAGTCACACTGGTGTGAACCAGGGCTAAGTCCTAATTTTGTAAAAATTGTATTTTATTAGGTTAGTTTAAATAAAAACACAGCATTTGTAGAATTCTCAACATGTCAAGCATGATGTATCATTTCATATATGCTCTCAGTAATGCTAGAACTCTGGAAGCGTGAAAATGAGAGTTATGTTTTTGTATTGTGTGTATATCATATACACTGTGGCACTAACTGCAGAATGTGCCTTTATTATGATGTCATTGTAATATGAAAAACAAAAACAACAATACATTTCAGAGCAGTTGGCCTGGAGGGGCAGCTTTTATGACTAGCTATGTATTCCTTCGGAAGCGATGTCTGCGATGCCAAGGTTATTTATGAACATGCATGCCAATGGAAATACTTGTCACCGCTGAAAAATGAAACCAGGAAGAAATATGTTTACATTTTTTACATATGTGAGTCAATGACTTCCAG